CAACCCATACACCACACCACACCACAACCCATACACCATACCACAACCCATGCACCATAGATAACCTTAATCTTTTCAAGTGTCTCTTGTGTTTTTCGTCGGATCTCCAAATCCTAAATAAAATCAGGTATACCTTTCCGCTAATGATAAAGATTCCACAGAAACTATCTGATAAAAGTCATGACCATCCGATACTGCCGTTGATATGGTTTGATGATATACCAGATTAAATTATTTATACAACCGACCTATAAAAATCAATGCTATTCAAACCGTATGTTTGACAACGAGAATTCAAAATGGAAACCTACTAAAATTATAGCAGATTTAAGATAGATGGAAAAAACCTGCTGTTTTCTCAAACCGAGGCGCCAGTTCCTCATTCAAGCACCCTGACTAGATGGTGCGTGTTTCCTCGCTATTTGATTGGCTAAAAGAAAAACTTTTGAGAGAGACAGTAAATTTTATCTATTTATTATGAATTTGATTCAACTTGTGTTACAGTGTTTACAGTGTACATTATATTGATCAACTAATTTTTTTAAACAGTTCATATTACCGTCTTGTTATATAACGCTGTCAAAAAAAATTAATTTGTTTTTCATAGACTTAAGTTTTTGTTTTTGTTCTTTTTATATCGTTGTTGTTGTTGGTAGAGAAGAAAAACTAGTTTTCAGTTCCTTCTTCGTTCCTAGGATATAAGATTAATTTCTAAGTTAAAGCAGGATGTATAACAAAGCGTCCCACAATATGTATAAAGCAAAAAAAGGTTTGAAATATTATTGCTTTCGATACTAAATGTGTTTTAAAATTGTCGTTTTAATGGCTCTGTTTTCTGGTCGAATCAAATAATAAATAAATGAAATAATAAATGGGATCTAGCAGTTGCATTCCTACAGAGTAGCTATTCATCCACTGTAATTCCACTAGGAATTTAGTTGTTGTTTTTTGCGGAGAGAGGAAAACCGGAGAACCCGGAAAACCCTCGAAGCACAGGAGAGAACAAGCCATCAGAGAACAAGCCATCATTTCCTCAGGCCATAATAAGACTGTAATTAGTTGTTAGTTGGTTGTTAGTTGCTTGACCTAATAATTAATGTGCCCACCTCCTAATTAAAGCATGCAAGATTTAATTAAGACTAATACTAACGAATTGTATTACAAACAAAAAGGATAAGATCAATAATTCAAACGAGGTATGAATATTTTAGCCCAGTAAAAAGAATAAGTCTAATGTGCCAGCTGTTAGAATTGGACAAACTGTCTAAAAATTATCCGTCAAACGTCAAAAGAAACAGAAAACCAATTYAAGTAGAAGAAAGAGGATTAGGTGTATTTGATTGGCTGGTACAAAAAGGTCGTTGACATAGCTGGCGTGGAAGCGTTTATTAAGTCAACTTCGTCTTTTTCTACAAGCACGTTGGTATGACAGGATATGATTTTTGTTAACCAATTCATGATGCCTTTTGGTTAAAGTATTTGAATATTAAAGGTAAGTTCATTCGTAATTTAACTACAAATGAGTAAAACTGAAGCGAGAAAAATCTATTAATTTAAGATTTTCAACATGTTGGTAAAAACAACTCGACTTCACTGATCTTCAATTTGTTTGGCGTCTTTTGATACTAAATGAAATGGTAACTTTTTTCTGGTTGAATGAAGTTTATTTAAAAACCTTAATGTTAGTAAGAGATGTTTAAAAGATTTACCCACGAATCGAAACTGCTTTTTTGAAGTTGCATTGCTCTACTTCTTTGTCACGTGCGAATATCTCAGGGAAATTTTTGACAATTAAAAAAATCTTGGTAAATGAAAATGTAGACGTTAAGAACGAGAGTAAAATCATAATTTGTGGTCGAAGCTTGTACTGAAGCTAATAGCGTTAAATACTGATTGTTGATTCAAAATTTGTTTATAGTTCCCTAAGAATTTTACAAGAAAGAATCAACACTCGACAATTGCCGGAGGATTGAATAGATATTACGAGTTAAAAACAGGGTGTGAAAAACAAATTATATTTTAAATATTTGAATTTCTTTAGGAATGAATAATACACATGTATAATGTACAAAGTAAAAGTAATGAAATGAGGCAAGCAGGTCATCGTAGCGGTCAGAACAGAGCATACTTTCTCTGATGCATTTTGCTTCCCAACATCGCTATAGTTGTTTCAAAATCTTTTAAACTTTTTATGTAACCTTCAAATTGACAAAACCACATGTACATGTACGTTTGAGATACCTTTTTTTACCATTTAACGAAAAGGAAAGATGCAAACTTAAGCGTTTAGAATTCATTTTGAAAGGCCTTCGCAAAAGGTCAAGATAAGCTGCTACAAGAGACACGACAAAAGAAAAACAGAGTCTGTATTTGTCTGGGTTTAGCTTTGTGTATGTTGTTTGAAGCTGATACATGAAACCTTGAACTTGAACTACAACACGCTCTAAAACGCTTGGTTGAACGTTTAAAAACGAATTAGAAGTCGAGACTTTTGCATCATCTGCAGAAGTCAACCTAAAACCGAAAACACCTTGATTTGTTTGTAAAAACTTGAAATGAATCACGATTTTGTAGCATTAGTTTCCCCCTCTTTTTTTCAAATTTTACCATCTCTTTTCCTTTTTTCCCGTTTTCTTTTGGTCACCATGACAAGAATGCAAAGCAAAAAATAATGTATTTTAAAGTCATCTCGACGTTATTCTGTTGAAACAAATGTTTTACTCCAAACCAAAAATTAAAAATTAAAAAAACAAAAAACAAAACAACAAAACAAACAAACAAACAAAAACAAACAAAAAACAACAACAAAAACACACACACAAAACACGAGAAGACCTTAAACACTTTAATATATTATCAGCTCTTGCCATGTAAGGAAAAAATTCCGCGTTCGTGTTGAATTTCGCGTTTAAAACCTTCAGATTTTAGCGATTATACCCTGAAACAACCTGTGGGTTGAACAAAGTCACACGGCAACTCTCAGATCGAATTGGAATTTTGCGTGTTAGTTTCAGTTATGCAGGTATAAACACCGAAGAACCCGAAGGTGAAAAACCCTCGAATCGAAGAAGAGACCTAACATTCAAATCCCTCTTACATGTGTTGCCGTGTCAGAAACTGAACCTGAGACCCCAGAGGTGATCATACGATTTCTCTAGGCGCTTTGCACTCAAGATTAGTTAAAGCCAACGAAAAAGAAAAAATAACCTCGTGTAGATATTGATGTAATTCAGCCCTCGATTCCCGTTTTTCCGGGTTATCCTTCCATTTTACCTTTCCATAAACCATACATAGCGAATCAGCACTGTTTTATATTGACCATCGTGTGTACTGTTTTCGACCTTCATTCCCATATACGTGACGTCGGAGGTGTTTATTAACGACCATATATACACTGTTCGATATCTACCAAGTAAATACGTAGTACGACCTCCTTACTTATCGCATGTGTGAACACTGTTCGATACCGACCACTTAAATAAACACTACGACCGCTTTACAAATGCATGTGTGAACACTGTTTTTACCGACCAAGTGAATAAACACTACGACCGCCCTGCTAATGCATGTATAAACGGCACTGTTCGTTACCGACCAAGTAAATAAGTACTACGACCGCCTTACTAAAGCTTGTATGAACACTGTTCAATACCGACCAAGCAAATAAACACTACGACCGCGATACCACGCATATGTCGACAAACTTTAAACGATGACAAATGTCATTTCTTGTATACAAGTACCAAGGCAGTCAAAAATGGCGTCAGAGAGATCAAAATTGATAGCGAGCATAAGTTAAATAGACTTTTGAAAGAGGCTCAGCAGCATTTTGGCATATAAAAAGATATTGGAGAATAATTCTGTTCTGGAAAAAATATTTTGGTTATTCATTTTTTAAACTTTTCCGTTGTAAAATTTTTAATTATTTTGTTGTTTCCTTTTCCTTGTTTTATTTTTTTCTTTTTACCTTTTTTTACGAGTTTCCGATGTACAATATATATCTTCTTCAATATAATTAATTCATTCTTATTATTCCTTGTCTGATTATTGCATGTTCGTGTCTCATTATTGTTAGTTAGTAAAAACCCCTCTTAAAAAGCCACTTAACAAACTTATATCCCATTACTTTCTGTGGGGGAAATGATTCCTTGATCAATCGTAGACCAAATTCTGATTACAAATCTTTTTTGGACAAATTACGAAATAAATAAGGTACCTAAACTCTCGCCAAAATTATATATAAATTTCTGAGCAAGAAACTAAAAATTGAACCTAATTCGTGAGCTTTATAATTAAATGTTTTACTTCGGTTTTAAATTTTGATATTTTGAAGCGCAGACAGTATTCTTAGGCGAAAAATATTGTAAACTTTGATAGAAGTTTCGCAGAAAAAAGAATAATTAAGCTTGACACACATGGCTAGAATAGTAAAAACCACTAGAAAACCGGCAGGTCTGAAAACAGCTCCATTACTGGTTTTGTAGAAAGAACAAACCCCGTTTTCGATTCAAAAAACTTGCTTTCGCTCAAATATTTTTCATCATTTTACAGTACGTAAGTTTTACTCTTGTCATTTTATTTTGTTTTCTGTTTTTCAATATTCCCCCCTCGAATTCACTTAGTGTTTTGGAAATCATGTCTGAAACCACGTCTGCCATTAGGCTAGGGAATAAAACTTTGAAGTGAGTCCTTAAGAATGCATTATGTTTAATTATTTTATTTAGTCGAGCAGAATTTTTAACGATAGTTTCTTGATTTCAAGATGTTTTGAAGCGTTCATTCATATGCGTCCTTTTGCTTAGGCTTTGCTGCATGGCTGAGAGACCAGAGGTCTTTGTTATGCGAATATCTTCACCGAATCGTGGCTTCGTTATTGTTGATAGTCGGAGGCGTGGTCGTTGGGCCAAAATGCTTTGTTTAGCTGACTGAATTACACCATCATTGAAGAGGCTATACAACAGATGTGAATTGATAACACAAAAGAACCTTACTTCACAATTAGACCCTAACCGAGCCCCTATCTTTAATCAACCAAACAACCACTATTACACTTTACTATCGTTCTGCTATTTCAATGTGTAAATGCTCATTAGCACTCTGGTATTTTGGAATCGAAAATTTACAGCTTCATGGCGTCTTTAGAGATTTTAAAAACGGAAGTTTGAAAGTTCTTAAAGACAATTCCCGCCTAAAAGCCTGAAACCAAGCGTTAAATCAAATATTGGTAGCTTTTCTCTGAAAGTATAAATTTATCTAGCAACAAATTTCAGTAGAAAAATAAATAAACTAAGAATAAGGAAGAAACAAAAATACAAATAAAACGTACATGTTGAAAATGGTTATTGAATAGTTGGGCGGCGAAACTACTTCACGAGGGAGGCGGTCTTATAATACTTATAATAAAACCATTATTTCGTAGTATTTTGAATATATATATCTCTCATAGAGAGAGTACTGTAAAACCCAAATAGTCGTTTTAACAAGCATATTTTATTAGTAAAGTCAATCTCTTAGCGCGAGTCAAATTTTTTCCTAGTATTCTTGATCAGTTTGCTTCAAATGAGACCAGGAATATTTTTGATTCAAAATTGACGTCTTTTTTGTCAAGTAAATGTCTTTTATGTCTCTCTGGAAGTCATTAATGCCCGGAATAACTAACATGTTGTCACTCAATGAAATATCGTAGATCAAATCTATTTTGTCCCTCCCATTTTGACAGGCTTGATAACCATCTTATTTGAGATATGTCAGTTCGCCTAGGCAGCTTGAATCCCATTAGATAGCCAAGTAAAAAGGTTTTATGCGACATCTTGGCATAAATATAAAATGCAGGGAAAGAAGGAGAAAAGCTTTCTCTACTAACTATGCAATTATTCAATTTATGAAGCGCATTGTTTGGGGCTTTTGCAAGAACTCCGTATCTTAGAGCGCTTAAAGAACCTTTGTTGTACTGTCATCGCTTTAGACCGACGTTCACCTTAATCTTAGAAAGGGGCGTGAGTTTGAGTAAATGTATTGAAAGACATGTATAGCACTGTGCCAGTTGAGCCTTTAATCTAAAAAACAAATATTTACTGAAGCCAGGTCGTGATTATTTGTGAACTATTTACGGCGGCAAACATTCTGTATTCATAGATAATTTACACCTAACGATTCGCTCGAACCCTAAATTGATTCTCTGTTTTATTTTAGGTTTTTTGTCACAAAGGATTTGAGAATTATCGAAGAATAGGATTGACGAAGCGGTAATTTTCGTGGCTTTAGGTTGGCTTGCTAATGGCTTTAGTTTGAAGCCTCTATTCACCAATGTGAGAATTACACAAAACAATTCGCTAATGAGGACATGGTGTGCTATGATTGGCTGAGCCCGGAATCTGTCAATATCACTAATCTAATGACAAGACGTGACATGCAATCTGCTAAATACTGACAAAACACTGCTGCGAATACAAACAGTAGCAGTTAACCTCGAAGATCGCCATGACTCGTATACCTTCTGCCAGTATTGTGATCGTACTGTCTATAATCTTATACTTCAGCGATGTTTCAAGCAAAGAAATGAAATGCGAGGAAATAACAATACCCATGTGTCGAGGACTAGGTTATAATCAAACCTATATGCCAAATATGTTTAACCACGACTCACAAGCCGAAGCAGCACTTGAAGTTCACCAATTTTGGCCGCTCGTTGAGATACAGTGCTCAGCCGATCTGAAACTCTTTCTGTGTTCAATGTACGCTCCAATGTGTCAGACAGACTACAAGAAAGATTTACCGCCTTGCAAATCGCTCTGTGAGCGAGCGAGAACTGGCTGTGCTCCGCTAATGCGAAAATACGGTTTCTCTTGGCCTGAGAGAATGAAGTGTGAAAATTTTCCTGAACTCGGAGATACGAAAACCCTGTGTATGGGTAAAAATGCAAGTGATGAGCCTGCAATAGATTCATCAGGGGCTGTGACTCCAATTACTCCGTTGAACCCAGATAGCATGGCAATCTCGGCGAACTGCTGCTCATGTCGACCGCCATTTGTCTCGACGAAGGGAAAAAMCTTCAAACCTACAGTTCTATCCATTGGCGGTGTTTCGCAGTGTGCTATGGCTTGTAATAGAACGTACTTTTCAAGAGATCAAGAAAGCTTTGCGTCATTCTGGATCGGTCTTTGGGCGATCTTATGTTTTATTTCTACACTAGTAACTATTTTAACGTTCTCAGTCGATATGATGAGGTTTAAATATCCAGAGAGACCGATCATATTTCTATCTGGCTGTTATTTTATGGTCTCTGTGGGCTACATAATCAGACTCATAGTAGGAGCAAAAACTATAGCATGTGATTCCAATGGATTGATGCGTTACGAGACCTCGGGGCCAGCGCTGTGTACGATTGTATTCCTCTTGATCTACTTCTTTGGAATGGCTTCTTCAGTTTGGTGGGTGATATTGGCCTTTACTTGGTTTCTTGCAGCAGGAATGAAGTGGTCAAGCGAAGCCATTACCAATTATTCCCAGTATTTTCACGTTGTAGCATGGCTAGTACCGGCTATTCAGACGATTGCTGTACTAGCTATGTCAACAGTAGACGGAGACCCTGTGAGCGGTGTTTGCTTCGTTGGAAATCATAATTTAGAAAGTCTAGTCGTGTTTGTCATAGTTCCTCTTGTCGTTTACTTGGTCTTCGGGACCTCATTCCTTTTAGCTGGGTTTTATTCGCTAATTCGGATCAGAAAACTGCTACGACAACATTCAGGAACAAAAACAGACAAACTAGAAAAACTTATGATTCGAATTGGAGTCTTCTCTGTATTATATACAGTGCCCGCGACCATAGTAGTAGCGTGTTACTTTTACGAGTATGTAAACAGAGAGAAATGGGAAAAATCTATCAATTGCAGTCAGTGTGGTATTGCGAAAGTCAAGCCAGACCATTCAGTTTTTATAATAAAGTACTTTATGGCCTTAGTCGTAGGGATAACATCAGGGTTCTGGATTTGGTCTGGAAAGACAGTCGAATCTTGGAAAAACTTTTGTGGACGTTTTTCGGGTACGCAGGCGACGCACAGACCCGTTCTGAACAAGAGATCAGCAACTGCTACAGTCTAAACTTACTAAATCAACAATCAACCTTGTTTGTTTTATATGTCTAGAACGAATATTTAATACGCGTGGAGCAAGTGTTTAGAATTTCAGTACCTAGAACGAACATTGTTACCATATACGATTATATTTAGCAAGCTGAAAAAGCTTTTAGGGAATCTAAACTATTTGCTTAATATAAAAGAGGTTTGGTGTTAAGTTCTTGGAATCCTGGATAATCTTTTCCGGGGATGTATCTAGCTAAATTTATTGACTTTATTAGTTTATTCCAGTGCCACGCTAGATCTATTTACCTAAAATATTCATGGACCATGAGAAAACAAAGAGATAATTTGCATAAGCCTAATGGCTGCTGCTACTGTTCAGTGAATCACTCGATTAACCATGGAGACAGAGTGGCTTTTGTGTACGCATGGACTCGAGTATGAACCTTACTGTATTTACTCTCTAGCTTTATTTTAGAAACCTTAAATTGCAATCTTTTAGGCTCCAAAGTGAATTCACTAAATCCTAAAAGTCGTTTTGCTTATAAATGCACTGCTTAAAGAAACAGTGAAACGACAATTACTAAACTAATTACTCGTCCCAAGAGACCTTATTCCTTTGGTATTAACAACAAAGCTAGAATGTGCGCCATTCATTATTCTTTTCTCTACACACATTTGACTAAGATTTAGGGCTATTACTGATGTTGTAGAATCGTTAGGCCTTGACTCCCGCGTTACATTAGGAATCTAAAAACTGTATTTGCCCAAGAGACTATATTGTAAATCTAAAGTAAATTGAACTTTATTCTTTATTAAATGATAGAAGATTATAAAGGTAAATGTTTGCTGTTGTCCTACAAGCATTTTTACACCGCCCCGGAAAAGACCTTGTGTTACTCGTTCACATGGAAGGTTGGTTATGGTGCCATTAAGCATTTTTCCTTCAGATCCACAGTCTTGCAATTAACGCCTCCGATGTTAAATCCTTTGAATGATTTTTCCCAAAGGAGTCGCTAAGAAAGAGAACAAAAAAAAAAAAACACAAAAAAACACACTCAGCCCCTAATTAGTGATAATGAAAACCTGAGAGCTAAAAATTTCCTACAAAAAATAAAATAAAATAGTTCTGCGATTTTATGAGTTTTCAGAAGAATTGGCATAACTATATRTGGATTTTAATCGCTCCACCACATCCAATATTCAGAGGCCAAGTATTAATAGCAGAACAGCGCCTAAATTGTTTTTTTTTTGATAGCACAAGCCGTAATTTTTTTCGTAGTTGTTGAAGTACTATCGGAAATAGCAAAACTTTCAGCCTTGCTTTCAGACCAAACTGTCGAAACTGCCATTTCAGTATATTGAAATCTTTGACAGCGCTCAAGAAGGCTTTTGTTCGATATATTCTTAAAGTAGTTCTCTTCCTCTAGTCGGGCGCCRAATATGTGATTTTTATAACAAGATTTTTTTCTTAATCCGTAAAAAAGACTTTCACACGATTTAAAACTTAGTTTTATTTACGAAAATTTCCAGACTGTTTTGAAGTTCACTTATTTAGGCTGGTACTCTTGTCGTTTGAAAATAAGTACACCACGTTGCGAGCGAATATTTTAACACAAATAGCGGACATTTTCTTCTATGCATAGCTTGTGAATGACATTGATAAAGATTTCTGCCAGAGATCAAGTAATCATGTAATTTAAATTTTGGGATTTAAAATCAGTGGGGCGTTGAGCCCTTAAGGCTAAAAGCATGAAAAAAGTCATGTACAGTGAGTAGATTGAAAGAAGACGTCTGATAAAGAAGATAAGAGACAGAATCAGGCAGCTTTTTGAATACGCTTTCTTTATTCAAGCCGTAATCTAAGGATTACCTTGGAAGTAAGCTGTCTGATGGGATATAAATTGCGGACAGCCGAGCTCGACGGTGGGTTTGATTGCGGTCACAGGAGCAACGTTGATCCTAAACGTACTCCGCCCTCTATTAAAGGAAAACAATTATTAGGTTCGAAGGGTCACTAGCATCTAGATACTATCGTAAAAATCAGTGATACAATGACACCATAGAGGGCTTAATAGGCAGAAAAAAAACACGAACACATACAAATGTATACTTTTATATAAATATGATATATATAGGTCAATTAACTTGATATTCCGACTCCAAAAATAAATTTCTGGTCGAATAAATTTTGCATCAGGAATTGGATCGGTTTTACGACGTAAAGTAAAATATTCCAATTGTTAGCTTATATCGTTATTTTCACAAGTTAAGGAATCACTGAATTTGTATACCTTTTTCGTCAACTGTTTTTTTTCTGTCTTTTGACTCACACCACCCGTTAATAAATCCAGGAAAAGTCAGCAAAGAAATGCATGCTCTCGCGAAAAAAAATTCATTAAAGAATACAAGAATTATAACATATTGTCTTTACCAGTGGTAATTTCAATCTAGTGAAATCAACAGAAAGTATAAATATGATATTTCGTAGTGCGGTTTTTGTAATTTCAAAGACGATTTCTGCGTAATCAAAGCACTAAGTTGCGAATCCAATATGTCGATAGAATAGAACAGAATTCCTTTTTTCGATGCCATTTTAAGATTTCATTGTACTTTGGTTGGCARTTTTTACACCTGTATGAATATTTAAGTGAAAAGATCAAGCTCTTGGACAAAAACATTCTGTAAGATTAAGAGTACAATTAAGTTATGTACATTGGGTTTGCTCAGTGAGTTTAAAGCGGCCTTCATTTTAAAGTCTTTCCTCGTTTTCAGTTCAGGTTTTCAGCCTTCTCGAAGTAAAAAGGAATTTACTTAATTTTATTTTTTGATTGATTCTTCGAATTTCTGGGCGTGATTATCCATCTTTTAAAAGGATTTTGTTGTATAAACAAAATGGCCACTTTGGAAGCCCATTGAAACTGAGTTCGAATTCTCAACACTACGTAACATAAATATCACTCGAACTCTCATAAGAAGGAAGGAAAAAGCCAAAGAATCAGTGAGATGGACTGATAACTCAAATTTGCCTTCAGAGCAAGGAAATATGGAACGAATTCGGATTTTAGGAGGTGAAATTTCAAGTTCCTTGGAAGCTCTTGGCATTCTGTGAAAGCAGCAATGTAACCTTTTGATTAAACCATCTCCCTGATAAACACTTCACTTCTCTTAATTCAAAGTAATCCCTGGAATCGCCAAATTATTGACTCAGTTATTTCAAGAAATTCAAGGTAGTTTATTCGAATTCCTTATAAATAAATAGAAACTTAAAAATCAAAAGACTTCAGAAAGAAAATAATCAAAACGCACCGACTAAAGCCTTGCCCAAGGGATTACATTAACGAGAACCCCACTTGTGATTTTTTTAAAGTTTCAATGCCATGCATTATAGAAATTCCACTTCAAGTACTAGACTACTACATTTCCAATCAAACAACCAAATAATTTCAGGAATATTACCGTTTCTAAAATGTGTAGTAATTTATTGTTCGAAAATTTGGTTGTTTTGGGGTTATTAACTGTTGTATATTATTAGTTCTGCCTGACACGCATTGTAGCTTTTTTATTATCTTGATGGTTCAATACCAGTTCGACACTCATACCACGAGGCCAACTCATATCACAAAGGTCCACCCACACAAGGAAGACAGATTCAAGAGCTTTGCAAGCATTTATTCTCAATCCTTAAAGATTACTAACCAACARTAAGTGAGTCGCCTCAAACAAAAACAAGACAGCGTCCAGATGCTTCCAGATCTAAGCCTATCTACCACAAAGAGACTTAAATCTGAATCCTTACTTGCTACAGATAAAAAACAAACCGGCGCTGTGAAGCTTTGAGGATAAGGCAGTATTAAGTCAAATTCTTAGCCTAAGCTTCTCAGTTCATACCGGACAGGATTAGACCTCCCCAACAGGAGGTTTTAATGCCTTCTGTCAGATCAAGTGGAMACAACACAGAGAGTTTACGATAGAGTTTATAGCGTGCCTTGAGACTATTCAGTGAAATTGTCTTTAATGAAGTGAAGAGAAAAGCTTTGTGTGTGGAGAGGATTTTGCTTTTCAAAGATGAGATCATTTGAGAGGCAATTTAATTTTGCAAACGAAAGAAATCCCCCACTTTTGTTCGTAGGTCTCAAGAGACTGCTCAGTGACCCTAGCATGTGTCTAGAAACTGTTCAGTAGAAGATCATGTAAAGAGTATTACGGGAAGTTATGAAAAGGAAAGGAAAGGAAAGGAAAGGAAAGGAAAGGAAAGGAAAGAAAGTAAGAAAAAAGAAAAGAAGAGAAGAGAAAAGGAATAAAAAATGGGAAATTCATAAAGCAGCATCTTTCATTGTGAAGACTATTTGCAAATTCTTTTTTACAGTGAGGACAATTGATTGGAAATAAGATATATTTTGATCACTCGGTAGTATCTAAGCTCACTGAATATTGAATATTTTCTATTTAAGGTGGCTGACTATTTTGGTAAATAATAGACAGAAAATTGAGAATTAAATCTTTTTTAACCTAAAATTTAATGCTGACTTCAAAAATGTAAAGAAAAAAATTGGGTGACCCGAGCTTGTTTTTGAGATAATCACTCCGGAATGGCATGCGTTTGTAAATTTTGGAAGAAAAAATAGTGAAAATCAAGCTCTGTACAAAGAAAAAAAAAAACCAACATAAAACCGAAACTAAGGAAGAAACATGAATATAATTAATTTTCTCCGAACACGTAGCTTACACTATATTTATAAAATACTGATAAAAGTTATTTTAATAAACTATTGTACACAATGGAAAAACTTGTTTTTGTTCAGGTTCTACGGTGTGCAAGTTCAAAACGTGTATGGTTCTTCAATAAAATCATGAAGATTATTCAGCGGTTTTTGAGCGCGCGCACATYGTGGGCTCGAATGGAATGTTGAAAAATAGTCACCGGTTAAACTTTTGCTAAAAAAAAAAAAGGAAAAAATTCGGTTGGAATGTACTTACTAAATTAACTAAAAAATTTTAAGGGAATTTTTTAGTTTGGGTTGAGTTATGTATCACGTGCGAATCACGTGTTCTGGTAGTACTTATGACAAATTTTTGACATAAAATACCAAAGTGGTTTTAGATTTGAAGTGTTCTTTTCTCTTAAACCAGTTTGAATAAAAAGATAAAGATTGAAAGAAGTGCCAGTATAAGAAAAACAAAGGAAGCTCTTATCTCTTCCATTTATATTATTTACTGTCATATTTTAAACTGTCAAAGTAATATAAATCACGCAAAATATTCCTGATAAATATGATGACTARGGCAGTCATTTTGAATTCCTCAGTAAAAGTTTGACTGAAAATAAACGACAAAACAAGAATAAACAACTTTACAGAATTCTAAAGCAAACTAYAAAGGCATAAAAGAACTATAAATACAACAGTAAGGATTCAGGGAATGTATAGGAAATATAGAAAACGTGTGCTTAAGGACAAAGAGAAAATATACATTTTTCGGTCTAATTTAAAATTTTCACCACAAAATTTCATGCCGAGGAAATTAAGCTATTTTTGAAAGATAATCTGAATATTTTCGAATGAATAGCTTTTGAATAAGCTAGTTTGATTTCAGCTTAAAATAGCTTTCCTGATAATTAGGAATACTGGACCAACGAAATGTTAGTCAAATCTTTTTTCCTAATGTCAAAATCAATATGGAAAACGAGCATAACCTTGGTAACGAAAACACGTCACAACCACTTACGAAACAGAAATTGACTCAGTCTTAAAAACGTTTTATAAATCACTTTTGTATGATCATAATTTATCCTACTATATATAAAGACTGTCATGTTGTAAAACTTTTGTTTGATAAATGAT